ATTTAATGTATCAAATTTCAATTTCAAGCTATTCATGTTAAAACTTGAAAGAGACTAAGAGCTGAAGTTCACAAAATAAATTGTTCAATGCTACAAGCTCTTAGGGAATTTGGTTGCAACCTTGATATTTTAATCTCTATTATCTGATTTAATTACCACCAAATGCTAATTGATGATTTCTTTAGAAACTTTTGTCTAGTCAGAAAGTAGCCATTGGCTCAACATCTGATCCTGCACACGAAGAAGAACTTGTGCCGGAGTATTTTGGCTCTCATTGTTCCTGTTCTTCATCAGAACACCCCCACCTCTTGCAACTGTGATTTTCTCTGCATCTCATGACTCATATCGAGTACCTGGTCTCATCATTATTCATCTCAGTGACCCTACATTTTTCACTTTGATTTCATGACTTTGATCTACTAATGATAATTTTTTGTCATGTTTAATAGAGAGCCAACAGTGTTGTCGACAATACATGGAAGTTCCGAGATCAAACACAAACATGTGTAGGGACTAGGAAGCGTATGATATGCTCAATAAGCAAGGCAAAGATTGTGTAAGTGGAACTAATGGTTTCAATCTTTTTCAGGAGAAAAAGCTCAGCTGTGGTATTTAATGAGAAATGGTAGTTTGATCCCACAATTTCAATCTTGTCAAGGAGCAAATGAAATTGAGTGGATTCAATAATTGAGTACTTGAGTTTCAGCTAATATACTTGATAACCGTTTCTATTTAAGTTCAAATCACACGTCATTCTTTTCTTGGTGACTAATTTAACAAAATATCTTTTCTACATTTTTGCTTTGCTTCCCCCTCCCCACCTCGAACCAATTCATCTGTCTGTCCAAAAAGAAATGAAAATCTTGGGCTGCTGAAGCTTTAATATATGAATGTGGCAATGCAATTAGTATTTATTCGGTAGGAAAAAAGAGGGCCAAGACTTAATATAAGTCTTATACTTCTATCGAGTTTCTAGTAAGTAATTTTTCTTTGAGAACAGTTCGAGCATTGGATGAAGTAATCATTCTTCCGTCCAAGTTTTCAGCGTTCTTATTAGTATAAATGACTAATGCACTGTATCATCACATATTGGCTGATAGATAGAACTTGCATCTCATGTCACAATTCAGGGGTGATTGAACCTATTATTCTTGGATAAACGATAATTCCAACTTATTATCAAGTTTCACAATCTTACCATTATCTTTATTACTTTAGAATGATTGCTCAGGTCCATAGTCTGAGTGGCCCCATTTTTTATGACGATTTTTATCGTGACAACTGGTACGTCTTTTCTAAATGTATTTTTTGTATGTTTCACCTCAACATTTTGTAACTTACAGATGCGGCTTGGCAGTGGAGGATCAACAATTACAGTCATTTTGATGGGGGTACCGTCTGTCACTAGAAGTATGTACAACTTCGATTTGTTAACTTTGAGTTTCAATGGAAGTGGTAAATTGCAGAATTTACATACACAACCTTTTTAATTTTTTCTGTTCCTGAAGATATAAACAGATGTTAAAGCCTTGCCTTAACAGTGAATTCGGCAGTTTACCTTGATTTAGAGCTAGAATGAGTCGTCTTATAATTTTCTTACACTGAAGATATAAACAAATGTTAAAACCTTGCCTTAACAGTAAATTCTGCAGTTTACCTTGATTTAGAGCGTTTCATAATGTTCTTACACTGACCTTGGAGTCGGTTTATTGAACCTGGATTCGTATGGGAGAGTCAAGTTGGAATTTTTCACCCAAGGAAAAGGAAACATAATGCAGGAAGAACAGTTAAGTGAGATCTGATTACCTTTGTCTAGAAGCACTAGATTCAAACCATTAGGAAATGAAAGTTGTCTCGGTAGCAAGTAAGATTAACTTGGGCAGTTTGTAATTCGTATAGCATTCCTGTTATTTTGTGTAAAATCATGTTTACAAGACACAGAGAAATTCTTGTCTTATAGGTTTCGACACGTTCATGTATGTCCTGTTTTATTTATGTTCTCTGTTTTCCTTCTGGCCAAAATAGCAACTCGGATTCAGTCCCCCACTTGATTCTAATTAGATTTATGCATGCTTGCTTGCCGACCAAGAAAGTGAGGATTGAAAGATCCAGCTTTCTGATACGACTGTTCTTGTGAGCTTCTACTCGTCCGCAGGAATTTAAATCATTAACGCCATGTTTGGTGAAACAACAATTTTTTAGCCTTTCACTTTGATTTTTTTTCCTTTATTTTCTTAGTTCATAAACAAAAAGTACAAAGTTTTTGTTAGTTTTGCAATTTGCATGTACTGTTTTAGGATTGAGTGTGGGGATCTAAAGGAGAGTGAGGAAGTTACTAGATTTGGGGAGAGAATATACCCAACAAGGGAAAATTTGAAAACAAAATTTTGGGGTTTTCTTGGTTTAAGGACGGTGGAGCACGGCAGTAGCTGCAATAGCGAATGGCCGGAAACTGGATTTGTGGGAGGTTTCTGGGTTTTATAGGGAGGAGAAGAGACTTGAACAGTTGGAAACATGAGAGGAGAGAGGAATTTGTGAGAAAGGTAGAAATCATATTTTTATTTATAAATATAAATATTTTAATATGTATTTTTGAAAAAAATATATAACTAATACTAAATTATAAATCGTTTTATAATTTTAATATATTATAAAATATTTTTGTAATGAAAAATAATTTAAATTGTTATATAATATTGATTTAATTACATTTAATAAAAACAAAACAAATATTTGTTTTACCTAGACCTGACAAATTTGACCCGAACCCTATTATCCAAACTGAGACATGAAATAGACTCGAACATGATGACCCAAATTTGACTGAAACCCGAAAAAATTGAATTGAACTGAAACCGACCTAAATTTTAGCCAAAACGAAAGTAACTCGAATTGAATTGAAACCTACTCGAGATTTAGCTAAACCGAAAGCAGTCCGAACGGAAAATAACATGAATCGAAAGTAACCCATATTTAATTTACCCAAACTCGATCTGAATCGAAGATTAGCCCGATTTTAACATGATAATTGAGTTAAAGTGTATAAAAATACTAAAATATCTTATTAAATTGGTTTTCATATTTAAATCAAATTATGAATTATTAATAAGTTAATTGTATCATATGTCCCCAATCTATGACCCTCATTTCAAATTAATCCCTAAACTTTTAAACATTTCATTTTCATCCCCAAGGTGTGATCTTCATCCTAAATTGATCCCCAAACTTTTTGAATATTTCAATTTTATCCTAAATTATTCTTGTATACTAATCACATCTCTTGTTAATAAAATCATTAGGCAAGTTATAGAATTATATGTTTGAAAAATAAAAATTTAGGTTAAACTATGATTGAAATGGATTACATATTTGGATGAATTCAGGGATGAAATTGAAAGATCTAAAAGTTGTTTAAGGATGAAATTAAAATATTTAAAAGTTTAAGGACTAATTTAAAATAAGAGTCATAGTTTAGAGACATATGATGCAATTAACTCATTGTTAATTTAATATTTTACTTTGGAACAACTAAAATAACTTTCTAAAACTATTAAATTAATTTATAAATTATTTTAATTCCTTTGTATATTAGGAAATATAGTTATTTAAATTAAACATAAAAATGACTTATTTTTACAATATAAAGATATATATTTTTACTTATTATTTAAAATTAAAATATTATATATGATATAATAATATAATATTATTTATAAATATATTTATAATAATATTTATTCAAACATAAACAGGATATTATTATTAGTTTATTGCTTTTAAATTTAATAAAATATTACATTTATAATTAAAGGTTAATTTTTTAATTTAAAATTTTAATAGATAGTAAAATTTGTAATTAAAAAATAGTTTTTTAATCAAATAGATCATACCATAAAATTTTCATTTCGAACCAATAAAAAAATCACAAACTGTAAAATATCTTATAGGTTGAGTTTAAGTTAAATTATAATCCGTAAATGATAATTGAATTTGAATCAAATTGAACACAGCTGATAAGATTTAAAAAAAAAAGACGCCTTTTTTACAAAAAAAATAACCCAACCCGAAAATAATTGATCAGATATTAATCCGACCCAAAAATCAACCGATCTGATATTGACTCGACTCGATATTCAAACCGACCAGACTTACTATAGACTAAAATAAAACTGAAACCCGAAATGACCCGACCCAACTTACAATAGATTTGAATAAAACCGAAACATGAAATGATCAGATCTGAACCTGACTTGAATTAAGTCTGAACCGAAATAACCCTAACTGAACCCAATCTGAATAACTCATTTGCCACCCTAGTTTTACCTTAAATGAAATTACTACAATTTAAATGTAACACTATAATTTTATTAATTATAAAAATATTAATAACGTTATTTAATAAGTATTATGTAATACTAAGAATATAATTTATTTAACTATATATAGTTTTATAAATATAAGTTCCAGCAAACCAAACATGACCTAAATATTTTAGATTTTGGATCTCTAACCTTAGAATGTATACATGTAATGTGTAAAAAAGATGGCTTGTCACAAGTGGTCAATACAATAAACAAAAAATTAAAATTTTATGTTAAGAAACGAATTTATAAAATTTTTAAAAAATAAATTATATAAAAATTTCAATTATGATTAGTATTACAACCCTCAACTCGACTACGATTCCGGCATGAGCAAGAACAAGAATTATGTGAAGTTTTTTTCCCCAATAATCATAGATATAACATGAGTTGACGTTAAATATGAAGTAACATACACCAGGAACGGAAGTAGGATTTTATGTCAGGGAGCGAGCTTTATATTTAATAAACTAAAAATAACTTCCAAGAAAACTAGAGAAGTGTTAATTACAAACCTACAAAATATTACAATATTTTTATTTGTCAAAACTAGGCATTCGAAATTGTGTCCGACGCTCTTTCATTAGATCGAAGTCATCAATAAGAGAATCTATAGATAAATCACGAGCAATTTTCTTCTCAATATATTATTAAGTAGCTCAACAAAAAATCATCTTCCATTTTGTTACGCAAGTGAGTCTTCACTAGCTTCATGGCCGAGAAAGCCCACTCTGTGGTCGAAGTAGAAACAGGAAGAGTCAAAACAAGACGAACAAGTTGATCAAGGAGAGGATAAATAATTGACTTTTTAGTCTTTGCTAATACTTGAAAAAGTTCTGAAATTGTTGATGCGTGTCTCAATTCATGGCTCCCTTTAGCTTCTAATTCAAAATGTTCTAATTGGCCTTTCAAGTGCAACCTTTCTTGCTCCGTGAATTCTTGTGAATAAAATTTATTTGCAAGCTTGCATATATCATCCATGCAAAATGATTTATAATCATCCATTGGATCTAAAGCAAAACTAAGCCTGAGTAACTCCACCATGTCATCCTTGAATCTAATGTTCATCTCTTGTATTTGAGAATCAATTGCAGAAATAAATATATCAACAAGATAACGATGCTCAACTGAGATGACATCTCGTTTAAGCTGAGACCTCCCTCTCCCTCCTTTATAAGGAACATTCATATCGGGAATCTCTATATGATGTTTATCACATATGAGTAAACTCACTATTAAATTCAGACTCCTTTGATCAACCAATTTTTCAACATTAGAAGAATCAATATTACCACCGGAAGGAGTATTTCTTTTTGAAAAAAGAATCGATTTTCCGATTACCCGTATCTAGCTATAGAGGTTTTTGCACTCCTATTTCTAGAAAACAATGCAAGAGTATTATTATCAAAATTTAATGACACAAATTTTTAAAATGTATTATCAAGGTATTCGAATCCAAGAGAATTAAATATTTAAATTTAAGAATTTCACTTACTAACAGAGAGGAGCAGATGTTTGATTGAATTGTTGTGAGAAGATCAAGATTTCAATTAAGCTGGAGAGAATCGGATGCAGTGATGATCAGATGTGCAACTTGCTCCCTGGATCCACACCAAAACCACAAATTCATAATCCATTAGTAAAAGAATTTAATAAAAAGGTAAATAATAATAATCATAATAATTTATAATAAAAAACCTTACATTATATGAAAAATATATAAATTCAAAGGGCAAAAATTTTAAGGAGGCGAAAATATATAATTTATAAAGTTTTAAAATTCCAGGAGAGGTGGTCGCCCTCACCCGCCCCCGATCCATCTATGATAATGACGTTTAACTTTAAATTTTAAAAATTCTATAATGTGTCATGAATTTATTTGTTACTAGGTTTTCTTTTTACATATATTGACGCTTTAATCTTATAATAGCAATAAAATGGAATGTTAAGTATTTATATTTTTTCCTGAAAACAACTTAAATATTTAAAATACATGTACAGTTTAAGTGTTTATTTATCGATTAAGTAAATTTGTGGGGTTTATTGTTGCGGAAGACGGCTATCGGATAGAGCAAAATCGCAACTGATAATTTGAGAAAATAAAAAAATGAAGATAAAAAGAGACACAAAATTTACGTGGAAAACCCCTAAATAAAATAGGGTAAAAACCACGGGCAACGGTAGAAGAATTTCACTATAAGAAAATATGAATTACAACTTCTCTCGATCTACCAAGGAGAAAACAATGATAATTCTCTCTTGATAAAAATGAGAAAACAACTCTCAAGAAACTCTCTAAATTCTCTCTAGTATTGAAAGAAAGCTAGAATGTTTTGGGATGGTTTTGAAGCTAAATGGGTTAGGGTATTAATAGTTGAAGCTTAAGGACTAATCTTGTAAATACCCTAAAAGTTTAGTGACTAAAGTTTGTAATTTGCCCATTTAGTTTTCAACCATTGTTGCACCTAATTTTGACATTTTATATTTGGTGCCTACCATTGTTGAAAATTTCATTTTTTTTCAACCTTGCTAAATGCACTTTCGGTGCATGCTTTCAACAATCTCCCACTTGAAGATTTGATTGGAACAATCATATCTTCACACTATTCTTTCTACCTTGTACCATCATGTTGCTTACGTCTCTGATAGTCCACAAGAGGATCGACACCAGGTAAATTTATCAGCATTGATTGCCTTCGTCATGAAATCTGCTATGTTGTCTTTAGTATGGATCTTCTGCATATCTATCGTCCCTTCTTCCACCTTTTCACGAATGAAATGGTACTGAACTCGTATGTGCTTTGTCCTTGAATGAAATGCTGGATTTCTTGCTAGATGCAAGGCGCTTTGACTGTCACAAAACATAAAGACATACTCTTGGTTGTGCCCAAGCTCCTCCAATAGCATCTTCAACCAAATTGTTTCTTTACTGGCTTGTGTAGCTGTTATATATTCTGCCTCTGTTGTGGATGTAGCCACAACTGACTGTAATTTTGAAACCCAGCTTACAGCTCCACCAGCAATTTTGAACACATATTCTGTAGTAGATTTGCTTTTATCCAAATCTCCTGCATAGTCAGAATCGACATACCCATTTATAAGTAAGTTTGATCCTCTGTAATATAATGCAACATTTGAGGTCCCTTTGATGTATCTCAGGATCCTCTTTACTGTATTCCAATGCTCTTTGCCTGGATTCGCCATGTACCGACTAACCACTCCCACTGCTTGTGCAATGTCTGGTCTTGTGCATATCATAGCGAACATTAAACTTCCCACTGCTGATGCATACAGCACTCGAGACATCTCCATCCTCTCTTCTTCACTGCTAGGACTCATATTGGAGGATAATTTGAAGTTAATAGGAAGAGGGGTAGAAATTGGCTTACAATCTTGCATGCTGAATCGTGACAAGATCTTCTTCAAGTAATTCTTTTGTGAAAGCCAAATCTTCCTATTACTTCTGTCTCGGTGAATTTGCATCCCTAGAATCTTGTTTGCTGATCCCAAGTCCTTCATTTCAAATTCCCTAGCCATTTGTGCCTTCAATTCTTCAATATGATCTTTGTTGGGTCCTGCAACCAACATATCATCCACATACAACAACAATATAACAAAATCGTTATCACCAGACCTCTTGAAATAAGCACAAGGGTCTGCATTAAGTCTGTTGTATCCAAGGCACATAATGAAGGAATCAAATCTCTTATACCAACACCTCGGTGCCTGCTTTAGACCGTACAGAGATTTGTTCAACCTGCAAACCAAGTTCTTCTTTTCTTCTTCTTCAAAACCTTCAGGCTGAAGCATGTAAATCTCTTCTTCAAGATTTCCATGAAGAAAAGTTGTTTTAACATCTAGCTGCTCTAGATGTAAATTCAATGTAGCACACATTGCCAAGACTACTCGAACTGTTGTTAGTCGAACCACAGGAGAAAAAATTTCATTGAAATCAATACCTTCTTTTTGAGCATATCCTTTGACCACCATCTTGCACGATACCTCTCCACTTGATCGTCACCATTTCGCTTGATTTTAAAGACCCATTTGTTACCAATTGGCTTCCTTCCTTGTGGTAGTGGCACAAGGTCCCATGTATTATTTTTATGAAGGGATTCAATTTCCTCTTGCATCGCCATCATCCACAGTGAAGCATCTGAGTTGTTTATTGCCTCCTAGTATGTTGATGGCTCACCGTCCTATGTTAAAAGGCAGTATGCAATATTACATTCTATAACATAATCTGAGTGCCAATTGGGACGTCTTCTCACATGATCTGATTGACGAGTTGTTGGAGCTTCAGAACTCTCTGGTTCTTGTTCATCATGTGCTAGTTCTGCTTCAGAATAATCTCCTTATTCAAACTCTTTTTCCACATGTATCTGTGTGTCTCTGACTTTTCAGCGCTATCATCGTCTTCTTTTCTTTGTAGTTTATCTTCTACAAAGATAACATCCCTGCTGATGATCACTTTACGGGCAGTGGGATCCCACAAGCGATACCCCTTTACTCCATCAGCATACCCCAAGAATTTGCATTTCTTGGATTTTGGATCCAGCTTTGAGATTTCTTGGGAGTTGTACAACACGTACACAATACTTCCAAATATATGGAGGTTTGAATAATCAGCTGGTTTACCAGTCCACATCTCCATTGGTGTCATCAGCTCTATTGCAGTTGATGGAGCTCGATTCACCAAATAACAGGCGGTATTGACTGCTTCTGCCCAGAATGATTTTTCTAGGCCTGCATCCCTTAACATTGCTCTTGTTCTTTCTAACAAGGTTCTGTTCATCCACTCTGCCACTCCATTTTGTTGAGGAGTGTTCGCCACTATGAACTGTCTTTTGATGCCTTCTTTCTTGCAAAAGTCATCAAATTCTTCGCTTGTGTATTCTCCTCCATTATCTGTTCTGAAACACTTGATCTTATTTCCAGAATCAAGTTCCACCCGCGCCTTGAAGTTTTTGAAAGTTGAAAACACGTTTGACTTCTTCTTAATAGGGTACACCCAACATCTCCTGGAGTAGTCATCAATAAATGAGACAAATTATTTTGCTCCGCCTAGGGATGTAACTGGTGCTTGCCATACGTCAGAGTGAACCAATTCTAGAACACTTTTGCCTCTAGAATTTGATTTGTTGAATTTTAATCGGTGCTGCTTACTTGTTATGCAATGCTCACACAAAGGAAATATTACCTTTGTTAAGCCTGGAAGTAGCTTTTGCTCCACAAGGACTTTCATTCCTTGTTCTGACATGTGTCCAAGTTTCTGATGCCATAGCATTACAGAATCTGAACTACATGAGGCAACAGAGGCTTCTACTTCTAGCAAAGTCTCTCCCTTCAGCATGTACAAGTTTGCAGCTATCTTTTCGCCTTTCAACACCACAAGCGTTCCACGTAACACATTCATGATTCCTTTTCGTGTTTCAATCTTGCTTGCATTATTATCCAACAATCCGTAGGATAATAAATTTTTCTTCAGGCCTTTCACGTGCCGTACATCTCGAACAGCTTTAATTGTTCCATCATACATCTTCAATTTGATGGTTCCCACGCCAATGATCTCTAAGGCATGATCATTGCAACTATACACAGATCCTCCTGAGACAGGTTCATACTGATGGAACCATTCTCTTCTTGAGGTCATGTGATATGTTGCTCCCGAATCAATGAGCCATATATCTACAAATATTTTTTTGCCTTCCACGGTGGTTGACGCTTCACAGCATAGAGCATCTCCATCATTTGAAGTGTTTGCGATATTACCTTGTGGATTGGAGTTTTTATTTAGACTCCAACAATCCTTCTTCAAGTGACCTTTCTTTCCACAGTTGTAACACTTTAAATTCTTCTTATTCCTCGACTTCGATCTACCATGTTTGTGACTGCTGCTTTGGCCACGTTCTGTTGATCTTCCTCTCATCGTTGTCATCATTGTCAACGCTTCTGCTTGTTGCAGATTTACTTGTCTGTCTTCCTTATTTTTTCGCCGATTTTCTTCTTGTATAACAGCAGCTGCAACGTCATCGAAGACTAGACTAGTGACATTACTGTTTGTCAAGTTGATGATGAGTTGATCATACGAATCCGATAAACTTTGAAGTAGAAGTTCAACACGTTCTTGTTCTCCTATTTTACAGCTTAAGGATGTAAGCTGAGAAAATAAAGTGTTCAGTGTATTTAAGTGCTCCGTCACTGAAGTAGATTATGCCATACGGAGAGTGTACACTTTTCTCTTAAGGAAAATTTTATTGTGCAACGATGTGGCCTCGTATAATTTGGTGAGATGATCACATATCTCCTTAGCTGTTTTCTTTTCCTCGATGCTTGACAATACTTCATCTGCTAATGCTAGATGAAAGTTTGACATAGCATTCCCGTCCATTTCGATCCATTTATTGTCATCTGTGAAATCCACTGGCCTTTCACTGATAGCTGCTAGACAACCGTCTTTCCTCAGGATAGCCTTCATCTTCAATTTCCACAATGAGAAATTTCTCCCATTGAATTTTTCAATATCAAATTTCGTTGACATAGCTTCTTTTACGGATAGCTCACACTATTTCACTATCGTGAATAGTTCTCTGGAACCTTCAAAGAATGGGTAATACCTTCAAAGAATGGGTAATCACCTTTTGGTGGCAACCACAAAGACAATAAGCAGATATTACACACTCTAATCTGGCTCTGATACCAATTGTTGCGGAAGACGACTATCAGATAGAGCAAAATCGCAACTGATAATTTGAGAAAATAAAAAATGAAGATAAAAAGAGACAAAATTTACGTGGAAAACCCCTAAATTAAAATAGGGTAAAAACCACGGGCAACAGTAGAAGAATTTCACTATGAGAAAATAGGAATTACAACTTCTCTCGATCTACCAAGGAAAAAACAATGATAATTCTCTCTCGATAAAAAGGAGAAAACAACTCTCAAGAAACTCTCTAAATTCTCTCTAGTATTGGAAGAAAGCTAGAATGCTTTGGGATGGTTTTGAAGCTAAATGGGTTAGGGTATTTATAGTTGAAGCTTAAGGACTAATCTTGTAAATACCCTAAAAGTTTAGTGACTAAAGTTTATAATTTGCCCATTTAGTTTTCAACCATTGTTGCACCTAATTTTGACATTTTATATTTGGTGCCTACCATTGTTGAAAATTTCATTTTTTTTAAACCTTGCTAAATGCACTTTCGGTGCATGCTTTCAACATCTATTGCATGTTTAGTACATAAACTATCAGTTTTGATTCATTTTAGTACCTAAACTTTAAGTTTTTTTCAAAACCATACATCGCGTGTAGTTTTTATTTCGCTTTACTATCTTGCCATTAAAGTTTTAACGGGTGATTCGCACGTGATACCTTTTTAATGGGTAAATTATATCATTCATCAATCAACTATCTTCTCACTCTTATTTTGGTCACTAAAGTTTTTTTTATTTAATTACTTGACTTTCAAATTGCTCCTAATTTAATCACTCTTAACTTCTATTTTTTTTATTTTTAATTATTTATTAACAAAGTAATAATAATAAATGTCATGTCATAAAATTATTAATGAAATAAATTAGTGATTTAAATAGGAGCAATTTGAAAGTTGAGTAGTTAAATTGAAAATTTTAAATGTTAGTACCAAAATAGGAGTGAGAAGATAGTTGATTGATGAAAGTAGTTGATGGATGAAAGATGTAATTTACCCATAAAATGTTGTGTTGTTAAGGTTTGAACGACAAGGTATTAAAATGAGACAGAAACTAAACGTTAGGTATAATTTTAGGAAAAATGAAAATTTAGATACTAAAACGAACCAAAACTTATAATTTAAATACTAAATGCATAATTTATCCAAGTTTTTAAGGTTATTAGTATATATATGAATGATGTAATTTACCCATAAAAATACAGTGTTGTTAAGGTTTTAATGACAATATATTAAAATGACACGAAAACTAAATGCTAGGTTTAATTGTGAGAAAAAAAATTAGATACTAAAACGAACCAAAACTGATAATTTAAGTATTAAATGCATAATTTACCCAAGTTTTCAAGGTTATAAGTATATATACGGAAGATGGTAATGAGCCATTGATGGGATTGGGGGGTAAGATACTGTGAGGTCTGAAACCAGAACAAATAGGAAGGAGACGATTGGGTGAGCAGTGGGCTATGAAATTTAACTTCTTTCCATTTGTTGTGTTTCTCTGTCTGAATCAGAAACAGGATGGGAACATGTCCGTGTACGTCGGATCATCCAACTCCCTTCAATCGGACAACCCCTCCTTCGTTACTATCACTCTGTCTCCCGCCAATGTAATTTAAAGGATTAAAACCATTTAACTAATAAGATTATAAAGTAAAAAAGAAATATTATTTTGGTTAGGGATAGATACGAGATCTGAATTCAATCGGTTTCAACCTGATTTGATTCTATTAGGTTATATTATTTTTTTTATAAAAAAAAAGATTGAGTTTGGGTTGAATCAATTGTGTCTTTAGATTATGAGTTCGAATTTAGGCTTAAAGTGAAAAATAATCGCTCAATTCAAAAAATAATATAATTATACATTATATAGTTACATATAATTGCAACAATCATCCTCTTTATATTATTATTTTTAATTAAATTCCTATTTTATCAATAAAATAAAGAATTATTTATATATTTGTGTACAGTTAGATCAAATGGGATGCAATTTTAGGTTGGGTGGAGTCCTTCTTAGCCCGGATCAAATTTGATGGAGGATAATCGGTGTATTTTTATTGGGTCGAGTTGATTAAAATTTAGCCTATGCCCATCCTTAATTTTGCTTTGAAATGTAGATGTTTTATTGTTTTTTAATTAAGGAAAAATTAAATAATTATATATATATATATTTATATTTTTTTAAAAAATTTACATAAATAGTAATAATTAAATATGTATAGATTACAAGAGAAAAAGTAGTTAAGAACAAGTTTACTTGGTATTTATACGGTGTATTTATGCAAACAAATTCAATCAATTTCGTCGGTCAAAAATAAATAATGCGGCGTGATAAAGTTTGGGTTAAGCTCACGAGAAAGAGGGCTTTGGCAGACGTATTCCCACCCAAATATTAAAAATATTTTTTCCAGAAAATTACACATTTGGATTCAAAAGGCCCCATAAACGAGAATTGAATAATCCTAATATGTCCGGTAACACTTTCCTCACCAGGCCCTTGTGGTTGCTGATCGGCGGCGGCGGCCGTGCCTCCACGTCAGCTTCTTCTGGCACCGGAAATTCTTCGGTCATTTCCACTGCTTCAGCTGGCTCTTCTTCAGCATTCTTCTCCGTAGAAATGACGTCATCAGCGATCAGCGCCGGCGCTTCATCGGCGGAACCCTTCAAGCCAGGAACTTCTTGTTCGGGATGAACCGGAAGGGCAACGACCGGGCTATCGGGGACCCGAGTGAGCGTTCCGCCGTTGGTATCCCTTCTCTTGAGCCGCGCATTCTTCTTGGAGGGTCTCGGGGATTCCCCGCTGGTTAAATGTTCCTCGAAAGACTCGATAGCTTGATGGATAAGCTCGCGGTTGGGAGAGGAGTCCCACCGGAACCAGTAACTGGTGTAACAGTCAAAGCAATCGCAGTCGAAAACGGGCGGCTTGTGGGCGGACTTAACGGCGGCGGGCGGCGGGTGTTTCCTAGAAGATCCTTTCTTGGAAGAAGAGTGGTGGTTATTGGTGGCGGTTTTGAGGGACCTTGTAATCATGTAAGCTAAAACTTCTCGCTCGTCAAGAGAAAGAACATAAAGAAGGGCTAAAACGGTGGCGGGAAGAAGGTTTAAAACGGATAGACTGTCTTCGCCGGAGGAGGAGGAAGGGTATACTTTACCTTTGTTTTTGAGCTTCATGGTTTGTTGCAAAGAAAGGGTGGGTAGGTGGTTGATTAAAGTAGGGATTTTTATGAAACTAGGTTTCATGGGTGGGCGGGCGCTGGACCCGTCCGGATCCGTTTCTTTCATCTTTATCTCTACTCTGCATTTTCTGTACAATGGTTGGTCCAACTATTAAAAATATTCAATTTTTAAATGATAATCAGTATTTAATTTATAATAGGGTTAAATAACTACATTTGATAATTCTTTTCGGTTTATCTTAATTTTGTTATTTGAAAACAATTATGTTTTGATTATTTATATTATTGGCTCATTACATTTTGATTATTGGGTTCGGGTCATCGATTCCCATTAATTTGCTAATATGGTGTGGTATGTTAGTAAAAAAAATAGTTAAGTTTCAACTTACTCTTAGATTTTAGACAAAAATATTTGTTTGATCCTAAATTTTAAATAAAATATTTATTTAATTCTTAAAATTTAAATAAAATATTAATTTAACGATTGAATTCGATCAAAGTCTCCATCGTTGATAACTGTTGTTAGTTGTTATCATTGATTATTGTCGATTGATATTATCGGTGACCGTTTTATCCTAAAATTTTTAATTCACTCATTCTTTTACCTTTTAAACACGAATCTAATGTATGTGCATAAAAAATGTTCAAAACTCTATGAACTTTATCTAAATTTCTCCAAATTGTGTTAACAGCAGTTAATCCGAAATTCTTAATTGTTAACAGCAGTTAATTCGAGATGACCACATCTTAATTAAATAAAAACAAAAATGATTATATCCTAATTAAATAAAAGCGAAAATGATCATATCTTATGTTCACTTTTGTTTTTATTTATTTAAGATGTAGTCACCACAGGTTAATTACATTTAACAGATTAAGTGACGTGATATTTTTGTATAATCACACATTTGGTCCCTATTATTTACATATTATCTCAATTTAATCATACTTTTAATAAATTAAAATAAATTTAATTATCTAATCGAATGATGTAACTGGTGCCATTTGTCGTGCCATGTGTCACCATTCGATTGGAGGACTAACTTTATTTAAATTTTATTTTAATTTAATATATTTATTTTTCACTAATTTGCTTTGCTTTGTTAAAATAAAATAAAGTAAGGCTTCCAACCGAATGGTGACACACGACACGACACGTGGTACCAATGACAATGTCATCATTTGCTTGGAGGATTAAATTTATTTTAATTTATTAAAAGTATGACTACATTGAAAGAATACATTATAGAACTAATATTTTGATATAACAAATAAGGACAAAATGTTTTTTTTGACTGAATTGAATTTATTCAAAGTTTTCATCAAAATAATTCAAAGTTTAATCAAAACCTTAAAATGAGTATTTTGACCAGAAGTTTCGAAACTTCTACTAGAGTTTTGAAACTTTCCAATACAGTTTCTCAAAAAGTTTCGATACTTTTCAAGAGTTTCGAAAATATCTCAAGAGTTTATTTACCTAAAGTTTCAATACATTGTGTCCAACGGTCAAATTTTTTTACGGCTCTTTCGAAGATTTTCAAAACTTTCCTCAGAGTTTCAAAATTTTATGCGCAAAAAATCTTCCAACGGCTCCAAACCTTCCCAAACGACTAGAAACGACTAGTAACTCATTCCAACATATAAAAACAAGTCGAGGACACTTGAATAAAGTTACACAACACCTATCTAAGCAATCAAACACAAGGAAAAACTTTTCATTCTTTATTTTCTTTTTTGTAAATAGTTATGTAATTTGATTTGTAAACACCTTCCTTTTTAGAGATCTTATTGCTTACAATTTATTTCTTTGTAAAGGGGTTTTTGCTCTAGCTAATCATTTGGAAAGCTAGAGAGTTTGTAAAAGTTATCTCTTTATCCTTGAAAAAGAAAAAATAAATTAGTAGATTTGTTGGAAAATACTAAGTAAGGAGCTTAGGTAGTGAATCTAGACTTCATTGAGGAAGTTGAACCACTATAAATTATTGTGCAAATTTTTATATCTTTATACTCCTTACTCCCTAAATTTCAAAAAGTCAATTCACCCATCTTTTGGCATATTTCGGTTGATCGAACAAGCTTCATCAAGCCTAACATATATAAATAACAAGGATAAGATATGTGATTATATCAAAATATCACGTCACTTAATCTTGTAACTGTTAACTGAAGTTAACCAATAATGATTACATCTTAAATAAATAAAAACAAAAGTGGTTATATCTTAATTAAATAAAAATAAAAGTGATCATATTTTTTTTAATCAGTGATTAAAGTGGATAAAATACAAACATAAGTGATCATCTGTGTAGTTAACCCTAATTTAATTTATATGAATTTTGATAAATTATGTAGTACGTGTAATTTTTATCTAACATTTTCTATTATTTCCTATACTACATAGAGTACTTCAGATGTAAATTGTATAGTTAAATGAACTTTTTAAATGTTATAAAAATAGTTTAGAATGGAAACCGATGATTTTCCCGATATATCACCGGTGACCGGTAATATTACCGATCTAACACCGGTCAAACTATATTTTCCGATCTAACACCCTTAGTAGTAAAGCGCGCCCCCTACACCGCGCTATACGATGATTTGGCGCCACTTGGGGTATAGCGCGCCCCCTGCACCGCGCTATACGGTGAGCTGGCGCCACGTGGGTATAGTACGGCCCCTGCAGCGCGCTATACGCCACATAGGTGTATAGCGCGGATCAGGTACCGCGCTATACCTTTACTCCTAATAATTTTATATAGCGCGGGGCAAGTACCGCGTTTTGTATAACTTTCATCGCTATATATAACATTCTCCGCCGGTTAATTTCTCACATCTCTCCTCTCAACTTATAAATTAATACAACAATTCCGTCAACGAGTCAATAATTCTGGCAATCTTCTCATATTTTATTTAGAAATTCATGCGATTTTTCGTTATAAGGTAATTTTGTTATAATTTTTTTATTTATTGTTTATTATGATTATTTGAAAAAATTATTATACTAATTATTTTCAATTAATTTTTGTGTTTGTAAAATTGGAAAGCGGGAGCATACGTCGAAATAGTTTTGCGGTGCAGGTAATAATATTAAATTATATTATTTAATTTATTTACGTTGATGTGTAAAAATTTTATTGTGTTATATGTTCGTTCATATATAATTTATTAAATCAGGTTTGTTTCATTTTTTTCATATATAATAGTGCCGCACTTTTAAACTCAAATAATGATGCGACTTTCAGCTATTGTTTATTATGATGGTGAAATTCGAAAAGATGAAATCGGCGTTGTTTTCGTATCAAATGAGCGTATTAAAATATCATTCAAGAGAAACATAACTCTTGAGGAGCTTATAATGAAGATTTCGAGGAAGATTCATGTTGAAAGTAGTAGAAGAGTGTCGTCGTTGCAGTATAGATTTCTGTTGAAAACATTTTGATATTTCGATATAACAAATTAAGTTAAATGAATTTTAAGATTTTCCAAATGATTTTCTAAGTATATTCGATAGAATTATTTGAATATCAAAACATTACTCCAAATATTTCAAAGATCATTTTTAATCCTTACTCAAGTGTAAAATTAAGTTTTAATCTTAAAACAATTTCAAAATAATTTTACAAAGTATTTCGAACCATTTCAAAGCCAAAAATTCCAGATTGCTCAGAGGGAACCGATTCCCCCTGAATGGTTTGGCTCCGAGAATTCCAGTATGCTCGGAGGGAACCGATTCCCCCCATGGGGTACCGATTCCCCCCTTGTATAACGGTCGAAATATTTGAATTTTACACTTAGGGAACCGATTCCCCATAGGGGTACCGATTCCCCCCACGCTCCAAGCTGTTTTATTAATTGTTTTCACACTAAAACGGCTATATTATCTTCTCTGAATGGTTTGGCTCCGAGAATTCTAGTATGCTCGGAGGGAACCGATTCCCCCCAGGGGGTACCGATTCCCCATTGTATAACGGTCGAAATATTTGAATTTTACACTTAGGGAACCGATTCCCAATAGGGGGTACCGATTCCCCCCACGCTCCAAGCTGTTTTATTAATTGTTTTCACACTAAAACGGCTATATTATCTTCTCTAATAATCCCCAACATTCAAAAGTGATTCAAGGTGTATTTAAGCAAGCTTAGAAGCCATTGATCAATAACAAGAAACATTAAGCAATTAGAATCAAGAGAGAATCAAAGAGAAAGCATCAAACCTCAAGTTTGAGCATTTCAAGCCTATTTTTCATTCAATATTCATTTTGCTTTCAAGAACACTTATTGTGCTCAATTGTATTTATTCTTGAGTGTTCTTTCTTTGTTCTAGAATTGTGCAAACATATTTGCCTTGGGAGGTTTTTCTTGTAAGTTTGCAAATTTGTATTTCTCTTTGAGAAAAGAGTGTTATCAAGAATTGGGGTATATTCTTGAGGGAGTTGTAAGGTTATCTCTTTGGCCTCAAAAGAAAGAACAAATTAGTGAATTTGTTGGAAAATCCTTAGTGTGGATAGCTAAGGTAGTGGACGTAGACTTTGGTTGATAAAGTCGAACCACTCTAAATCGCTGTGCAATTTCTTTCAATTTTCTGCAAAAGCTTCCACCAAAATTTTTATTGCCAATTCACCCCCATCTTGGCCAATTCAGTCAATCGATTAACTCAACAATTGGCATAAGAGCCTAACTCATTTGAAGGTTTAATCACCTCTTGAGTTGATTCGGGAAGAGTTATATCGATAATCAAAGTCATCAATGGCCTCCGCTTCAAACTTCGACTCCGGTCTCGATTCGATGCCCGTCAACAAGCCTTCTTTCTTCAATGGAGCTAACTATGCCTATTGGAATAATAGAATGATGTACTTCATTCAAGCAAGTGACATGGGAGCATAGAATGCCGTAGAAGAAGGATACATCAAACCTCTCACTCATCCAAGGTTGTGGAGTGAATGAGAGACAAGAATGTTCCAGCTCAACTCCAAATCCATCCATATCATTTTTAGTGCTC